CCCCAAATCCCCTCCCCCACCGCGACCCCAATTTTGGGGGAAAAAACCCCAAAAATCGCTCAAAAAAGAAAACAAAACCGGCCTGGGAATGGTTGGAAATTCCTTTATTTGGGCAAAACCGCGATTTGGGGGGAATTGGGCAAAATTTGGGGGGAACTGGGCAAAATTTGGGGGGAATTGAGCAAAATTTGGGACGATTTTGGGGTCCACTGGGTCAGGATTTGGGGTGAATTTGGCACAATTTGGGGCAAATTTTGGAGCTGAATTTTGGGGTCCCCACGTAAGGATTTGGGGCAAAATTTGGCAAAAATTGGGGCAGATTTTGGGGTCCACTGGGTCAGGATTTGGGGTGAATTTGGCAAAATTTGGGGCAAATTTTGGGGTCCCCCAGGTCCCATTTGGGGGTGGATTTTGGGGAGAATTTGGCAAAATTTGGGGCGGATTTTAGAGGTGAATTTTGGGGTCCCCGGGTCCCATTTGGGGTTGGATTTGGGGCAAATTTGGGGCAGATTTTGGGGTCTCCCAGTTCCCATTTGGGGGTTGGATTTGGGGCAAATTTGGCACAATTCGGGGCAAATTTTGGAGCTGAATTTTGGGGTCCCCGCATAAGGATTTGGGGCAAAATTTGGCAAAAATTGGGGCAGATTTTGGGGTCCCCTGGGTCAGGATTTGGGGTGAATTTGGCAAAATTTGGGGCAGATCTTGGGGTCCCCGGGGTCCCATTTGGGGTCGGGATTTGGGGTGAATTGGGCAAAAATTGGGGCAGATTTTGGGACTGAATTTTGGGGTCCCCAGGGTCAGAATTTTGGGGTCTTCCAGGTCCCATTTGGGGTCAGGATTTGGGGTGAATTGGGCAAAATTTGGGGCAGATTTTGGGGTCACCCGGGTCGGGATTTGGGGTGAATTTGGCAAAATTTGGGGCAGATTTTGGAGCCACCCGGGTCGGGATTTGGGGTGAATTTGGCAAAATTTGGGGCAGATTTTGGGGTCCACTGGGTCAGGATTTGGGGTGAATTTGGCACAATTTGGGGCAAATTTTGGAGCTGAATTTTGGGGTCCCCACGTAAGGATTTGGGGCAAAATTTGGCAAAAATTGGGGCAGATTTTGGGGTCCCCTGGGTCAGGATTTGGGGTGAATTTGGCAAAATTTGGGGCAGATCTTGGGGTCCCCGGGGTCCCATTTGGGGTCGGGATTTGGGGTGAATTGGGCAAAAATTGGGGCAGATTTTGGGACTGAATTTTGGGGTCCCCAGGGTCAGAATTTTGGGGTCTTCCAGGTCCCATTTGGGGTCAGGATTTGGGGTGAATTTGGCAAAATTTGGGGCAGATTTTGGGGTCACCCGGGTCGGGATTTGGGGTGAATTTGGCAAAATTTGGGGCAGATTTTGGGGTCCCCTGGCTCAGGATTTGGGGTCCCATTTGGGGCCGGGATTTGGGGTAAATTCGGCAAAATTTGGGGCAGAATTTTGGGGTCCCTCGGTCCCATTTGAGGCAGAATTTTGGGGTCTCCCGGGTCCAATTTGGGGCAGAATTTTGGGGTCCCCAGGATCCCTTTTGGGGCAGAATTTTGGGGTCTCCCGGGTCC